CCTAGAAACACAATCAGGACAAAAGAATGAGTTGGGTTCTAACGCCGTTTTGAACACTTTTTCAGCTTTTATTTCACGGCGTGTGGGGGAAAAGACCCCCCAAAAACGACAGTCATCGACTTGTCACTTTGGCTAAACCCACAAACAAGAGCACTGCTCTGACAAACCTAGAAACACAATCAGGACAAAAGAATGAGTTGGGTTCTAACGCCGTTTTGAACACTTTTCCAGCTTTTATTTCACGGCGTGTGGGGGAAAAGACACCCAAAAAACGACAGTCATCGACTTGTCACTTTGGCTAAACCCACAAACAAGAGCACTGCTCTGACAAACCTAGAAACACAATCAGGACAAAAGAATGAGTTGGGTTCTAACGCCGTTTTGAACACTTTTTCAGCTTTTATTTCACGGCGTGTGGGGGAAAAGACCCCCAAAAAACGACAGTCATCGACTTGTCACTTTGGCTAAACCCACAAACAAGAGCACTGCTCTGACAAACCTAGAAACACAATCAGGACAAAAGAATGAGTTGGGTTCTAACGCCGTTTTGAACACTTTTTCAGCTTTTATTTCACGGCGTGTGGGGGAAAAGACCCCCCAAAAACGACAGTCATCGACTTGTCACTTTGGCTAAACCCACAAACAAGAGCACTGCTCTGACAAACCTAGAAACACAATCAGGACAAAAGAATGAGTTGGGTTCTAACGCCGTTTTGAACACTTTTTCAGCTTTTATTTCACGGCGTGTGGGGGAAAAGACCCCCCAAAAACGACAGTCATCGACTTGTCACTTTGGCTAAACCCACAAACAAGAGCACTGCTCTGACAAACCTAGAAACACAATCAGGACAAAAGAATGAGTTGGGTTCTAACGCCGTTTTGAACACTTTTTCAGCTTTTATTTCACGGCGTGTGGGGGAAAAGACCCCCCAAAAACGACAGTCATCGACTTGTCACTTTGGCTAAACCCACAAACAAGAGCACTGCTCTGACAAACCTAGAAACACAATCAGGACAAAAGAATGAGTTGGGTTCTAACGCCGTTTTGAACACTTTTTCAGCTTTTATTTCACGGCGTGTGGGGGAAAAGACCCCCAAAAAACGACAGTCATCGACTTGTCACTTTGGCTAAACCCACAAACAAGAGCACTGCTCTGACAAACCTAGAAACACAATCAGGACAAAAGAGTGAGTTGGGTTCTAACGCCGTTTTGAACACTTTTTCAGCTTTTATTTCACGGCGTGTGGGGGAAAAGACCCCCCAAAAACGACAGTCATCGACTTGTCACTTTGGCTAAACCCACAAACAAGAGCACTGCTCTGACAAACCTAGAAACACAATCAGGACAAAAGAATGAGTTGGGTTCTAACGCCGTTTTGAACATTTTTCAGCTTTTATTTCACGGCGTGTGGGGGAAAAGACCCCCCAAAGACGACAGTCATCGACTTGTAACTTTGGCTAAACCCACAAACAAGAGCACTGCTCTGACAAACCTAGAAACACAATCAGGACAAAAGAATGAGTTGGGTTCTAACGCCGTTTTGAACACTTTTTCAGCTTTTATTTCACGGCGTGTGGGGGAAAAGACCCCCCAAAAACGACAGTCATCGACTTGTCACTTTGGCTAAACCCACAAACAAGAGCACTGCTCTGACAAACCTAGAAACACAATCAGGACAAAAGAATGAGTTGGGTTCTAACGCCGTTTTGAACACTTTTTCAGCTTTTATTTCACGGCGTGTGGGGGAAAAGACCCCCCAAAAACGACAGTCATCGACTTGTCACTTTGGCTAAACCCACAAACAAGAGCACTGCTCTGACAAACCTAGAAACACAATCAGGACAAAAGAATGAGTTGGGTTCTAACGCCGTTTTGAACACTTTTTCAGCTTTTATTTCACGGCGTGTGGGGGAAAAGACCCCCCAAAAAACGACAGTCATCGACTTGTCACTTTGGCTAAACCCACAAACAAGAGCACTGCTCTGACAAACCTAGAAACACAATCAGGACAAAAGAATGAGTTGGGTTCTAACGCCGTTTTGAACACTTTTTCAGCTTTTATTTCACGGCGTGTGGGGGAAAAGACCCCCCAAAAACGACAGTCATCGACTTGTCACTTTGGCTAAACCCACAAACAAGAGCACTGCTCTGACAAACCTAGAAACACAATCAGGACAAAAGAATGAGTTGGGTTCTAACGCCGTTTTGAACACTTTTCCAGCTTTTATTTCACGGCGTGTGGGGGAAAAGACACCCAAAAAACGACAGTCATCGACTTGTCACTTTGGCTAAACCCACAAACAAGAGCACTGCTCTGACAAACCTAGAAACACAATCAGGACAAAAGAATGAGTTGGGTTCTAACGCCGTTTTGAACACTTTTTCAGCTTTTATTTCACGGCGTGTGGGGGAAAAGACCCCCAAAAAACGACAGTCATCGACTTGTCACTTTGGCTAAACCCACAAACAAGAGCACTGCTCTGACAAACCTAGAAACACAATCAGGACAAAAGAATGAGTTGGGTTCTAACGCCGTTTTGAACACTTTTTCAGCTTTTATTTCACGGCGTGTGGGGGAAAAGACCCCCCAAAAACGACAGTCATCGACTTGTCACTTTGGCTAAACCCACAAACAAGAGCACTGCTCTGACAAACCTAGAAACACAATCAGGACAAAAGAATGAGTTGGGTTCTAACGCCGTTTTGAACACTTTTTCAGCTTTTATTTCACGGCGTGTGGGGGAAAAGACCCCCCAAAAACGACAGTCATCGACTTGTCACTTTGGCTAAACCCACAAACAAGAGCACTGCTCTGACAAACCTAGAAACACAATCAGGACAAAAGAATGAGTTGGGTTCTAACGCCGTTTTGAACACTTTTTCAGCTTTTATTTCACGGCGTGTGGGGGAAAAGACCCCCCAAAAACGACAGTCATCGACTTGTCACTTTGGCTAAACCCACAAACAAGAGCACTGCTCTGACAAACCTAGAAACACAATCAGGACAAAAGAATGAGTTGGGTTCTAACGCCGTTTTGAACACTTTTTCAGCTTTTATTTCACGGCGTGTGGGGGAAAAGACCCCCAAAAAACGACAGTCATCGACTTGTCACTTTGGCTAAACCCACAAACAAGAGCACTGCTCTGACAAACCTAGAAACACAATCAGGACAAAAGAGTGAGTTGGGTTCTAACGCCGTTTTGAACACTTTTTCAGCTTTTATTTCACGGCGTGTGGGGGAAAAGACCCCCCAAAAACGACAGTCATCGACTTGTCACTTTGGCTAAACCCACAAACAAGAGCACTGCTCTGACAAACCTAGAAACACAATCAGGACAAAAGAATGAGTTGGGTTCTAACGCCGTTTTGAACATTTTTCAGCTTTTATTTCACGGCGTGTGGGGGAAAAGACCCCCCAAAGACGACAGTCATCGACTTGTCACTTTGGCTAAACCCACAAACAAGAGCACTGCTCTGACAAACCTAGAAACACAATCAGGACAAAAGAATGAGTTGGGTTCTAACGCCGTTTTGAACACTTTTTCAGCTTTTATTTCACGGCGTGTGGGGGAAAAGACCCCCCAAAAACGACAGTCATCGACTTGTCACTTTGGCTAAACCCACAAACAAGAGCACTGCTCTGACAAACCTAGAAACACAATCAGGACAGAAGAATGAGTTGGGTTCTAACGCCGTTTTGAACACTTTTTCAGCTTTTATTTCACGGCGTGTGGGGGAAAAGACCCCCCAAAAACGACAGTCATCGACTTGTCACTTTGGCTAAACCCACAAACAAGAGCACTGCTCTGACAAACCTAGAAACACAATCAGGACAAAAGAATGAGTTGGGTTCTAACGCCGTTTTGAACACTTTTTCAGCTTTTATTTCACGGCGTGTGGGGGAAAAGACCCCCCAAAAACGACAGTCATCGACTTGTCACTTTGGCTAAACCCACAAACAAGAGCACTGCTCTGACAAACCTAGAAACACAATCAGGACAAAAGAATGAGTTGGGTTCTAACGCCGTTTTGAACACTTTTTCAGCTTTTATTTCACGGCGTGTTGGGGAAAAGACCCCCCAAAAAACGACAGTCATCGACTTGTCACTTTGGCTAAACCCACAAACAAGAGCACTGCTCTGACAAACCTAGAAACACAATCAGGACAAAAGAATGAGTTGGGTTCTAACGCCGTTTTGAACACTTTTTCAGCTTTTATTTCACGGCGTGTGGGGGAAAAGACCCCCCAAAAACGACAGTCATCGACTTGTCACTTTGGCTAAACCCACAAACAAGAGCACTGCTCTGACAAACCTAGAAACACAATCAGGACAAAAGAATGAGTTGGGTTCTAACGCCGTTTTGAACACTTTTCCAGCTTTTATTTCACGGCGTGTGGGGGGAAAAGACACCCAAAAAACGACAGTCATCGACTTGTCACTTTGGCTGAACCCACAAACAAGAGCACTGCTCTGACAAACCTAGAAACACAATCAGGACAAATTGAGATTTGAACCCAGGACGAGCGGATCCTGGCACGTCCAACAAATCTGCAAACAAAAAATTTATCCTTAGTTCAGGAGACCGCCTCCGTGGTCTAGTGGTAGAGCGTCCGCCCGGAGAGCGGAAGGGCCGCGTCATACAAAAAGACGTTAAAAGATTGTATTTGTTGTTACCCTGTCTGGCGGTCGGCATTAAGGGGCTAAAACAAGGACTGGTCGGCTCGGAGTCAGTATACTGTGTCTGAGTGGGGTATTCATGTTAAACTGCGGCATGGTATCTCAGTGAGCTAGCACTATAAATCGGCATCAGTCCGGACTAGTACAAGCAGCCACACACACACATACACGTGCATGCACGTCGCTATATAAGTGCAATAATCTTGGACGCGACGTTAAACCCAATTTCACCTCACTTAGTTCAGGAATGCTTGTGCGTGTAGAATGAAATGCGAGGTATTCATACACCAGAACAGAGTCTGATAAAATTGTACTCACCACGCCTTTGCACGAGGAATCGTGATTGATGTCGATTTCACACTTGTTGACAGCATTGAGACTACTTCGGGCTCCGACAAGCTTCACGACATATCTGGAAAACTTGTATTCCTTGGGTGCCAGGCTAAATCTCACGGTGATATCGGCAGGGGCCATGCGGTTGTCTCCCTTGTAGGTTAGGGCAGCTGACCAATCCCCGGGGGACTTGCCATCTACAACATATCCACGTGCACGTGATTGAGGAGACTTGACATCTACATTACATAGACATGCACGTGCTTGATGAGACCTGACATCCACATTACATAGACATGCACGTGATTGATGAGACCTGACATCTACATTACATAGACATGCACGTGATTGTGGAGACTTGACATCTACATTACATAGACATGTACGTGATTGACGAGACTTGACATCTACATTACATAGACATGCACGTGCTTGATGAGACCTGACATCCACATTACATAGACATGCACGTGATTGATGAGACCTGACATCTACATTACATAGACATGCACGTGATTGTGGAGACTTGACATCTACATTACATAGACATGCACGTGATTGACGAGACTTGACATCTACATTACATAGACATGCACGTGCTTGATGAGACCTGACATCCACATTACATAGACATGCACGTGATTGATGAGACCTGACATCTACATTACATAGACATGCACGTGATTGAGGAGACTTGACATCTACATTACATAGACATGCACGTGATTGATGAGACTTGCCATCTACATTACATAGACATGCACGTGATTGACGAGACTTGACATCTATAGTACATCGACGTGCACGTGATTGACGAGACTTGACATCTAAATTACATAGACATGCACGTGATTGACGAGACTTGGCATATATAGTACCTTGACGTGCACGTGATTGAGGAGACTTGACATCTACATTACATAGACATACACGTGATTGACGAGACTTGACATCTACATTACATAGACATGCACGTGATTGAGGAGACTTGCCATCTACATTACATAGACATGCACGTGATTGAGGAGACCTGACATCTACATTACATAGACATGCATGTGATTGATGAGACTTGACATCTACATTACATAGACATGCACGTGATTGACGAGACTTGACATCTATAGTACCTTGACGTGCACGTGATTGAGGAGACTTGACATCTACATTACATAGACATACACGTGATTGACGAGACTTGACATCTACATTACATAGACATGCACGTGATTGAGGAGACTTGCCATCTACATTACATAGACATGCACGTGATTGACGAGACTTGACATCTACATTACATAGACATGCACGTGATTGATGAGACTTGACATCTACATTACATCGACATGCACGTGATTGACGAGACTTGACATCTACATTACATAGACATGCACGTGATTGATGAGACTTGACATCTACATTTCATAGACATGCACGTGATTGAGGAGACTTGACATCCACATTACATAGACATGCACGTGATTGATGAGACTTGACATCCACATTACATAGACATGCACGTGATTGAGGAGACTTGACATCTACATTACATAGACATGCACGTGATTGAGGAGACTTGACATCTACATTACATAGACATGCACGTGATTGAGGAGACTTGGCATCTACATTACATAGACATGCACGTGATTGAGGAGACTTGACATCTACATTACATAGACATGCACGTGCTTGATGAGACCTGACATCTACATTACATAGACATGCACGTGATTGAGGAGACTTGACATCTACATTACATGGACATGCACGTGATTGATGAGACTTGCCATCTACATTACATAGACATGCACGTGATTGACGAGACTTGACATCTATAGTACATCGACGTGCACGTGATTGACGAGACTTGACATCTAAATTACATAGACATGCACGTGATTGACGAGACTTGGCATATATAGTACCTTGACGTGCACGTGATTGAGGATACTTGACATCTACATTACATAGACATGCACGTGATTACCGAGACTTGACATCTACATTACATAGACATGCACGTGATTGACGAGACTTGCCATCTACATTACATAGACATGCATGTGATTGAGGAGACTTGACATCCACATTACATAGACATGCACGTGATTGATGAGACTTGACATCTACATTACATCAGCATGCACGTGATTGAGGAGACTTGACATCTACATTACATAGACATGCACGTGATTGATGAGACTTGACATCTACATTTCATAGACATGCACGTGATTGAGGAGACTTGACATCCACATTACATAGACATGCACGTGATTGATGAGACTTGACATCCACATTACATAGACATGCACATGATTGAGGAGACTTGACATCTACATTACATAGACATGCACGTGATTGAGGAGACTTGACATCTACATTACATAGACATGCACGTGATTGAGGAGACTTGACATCTACATTACATAGACATGCACGTGATTGAGGAGACTTGACATCTACATTACATAGACATGCACGTGCTTGATGAGACCTGACATCCACATTACATAGACATGCACGTGATTGAGGAGACCTGACATCTACATTACATAGACATGCACGTGATTGAGGAGACTTGACATCTACATTACATAGACATGCACGTGATTGACGAGACTTGACATCTACATTACATAGACATGCACGTGCTTGATGAGACCTGACATCCACATTACATAGACATGCACGTGATTGAGGAGACTTGACATCTACATTACATAGACATGCATGTGATTGATGAGACTTGACATCTACATTACATAGACATGCACGTGATTGAGGAGACTTGACATCTACATTACATAGACATGCACGTGATTGACGAGACTTGACATCAACATTACATAGACATGCACGTGATTGAGGAGACTTGGCATATATAGTACCTTGACGTGCACGTGATTGAGGAGACTTGACATCTACATTACATAGACATACACGTGATTGACGAGACTTGACATCTACATTACATAGACATGCACGTGATTGAGGAGACTTGCCATCTACATTACATAGACATGCACGTGATTGAGGAGACTTGACAGCTACATTACATAGACATGCACGTGATTGATGAGACTTGACATCTACATTACATCGACATGCACGTGATTGACGAGACTTGACATCTACATTACATAGACATGCACGTGATTGATGAGACTTGACATCTACATTTCATAGACATGCACGTGATTTAGGAGGCTTGACATCCACATTACATAGACATGCACGTGATTGATGAGACTTGACATCCACATTACATAGGCATGCACGTGATTGAGGAGACTTGACATCTACATTACATAGACATGCACGTGATTGAGGAGACTTGACATCTACATTACATAGACATGCACGTGATTGACGAGACTTGACATCTACAATACATAGACATGCACGTGATTGAGGAGACTTGACATCTACATTACATAGACATGCACGTGATTGACGAGACTTGACATCTACATTACATAGACATGCACGTGATTGATGAGACTTGACATCTACATTCATAGACATGCACGTGATTGAGGAGACTTGACATCCACATTACATAGACATGCACGTGATTGAGGAGACTTGACATCCACATTACATAGACATGCACATGATTGAGGAGACTTGACATCTACATTACATAGACATGCACGTGATTGAGGAGACCTGACATCTACATTACATAGACATGCACGTGATTGAGGAGACTTGACATCTACATTACATAGCCATGCACGTGATTGACGAGACTTGACATCTACATTACATAGACATGCACGTGCTTGATGAGACCTGACATCCACATTACATAGACATGCACGTGATTGAGGAGACCTGACATCTACATTACATAGACATGCACGTGATTGAGGAGACTTGACATCTACATTACATAGACATGCACGTGATTGACGAGACTTGACATCTACATTACATAGACATGCACGTGCTTGATGAGACCTGACATCCACATTACATAGACATGCACGTGATTGATGAGACTTGACATCTACATTACATAGACATGCACGTGATTGATGAGACTTGACATCTACATTACATAGACATGCACGTGATTGAGGAGACTTGACATCCACATTACATAGACATGCACGTGATTGAGGAGACTTGACATCAACATTACATAGACATGCACGTGATTGAGGAGACTTGACATCTACATTACATAGACATGCACGTGATTGACGAGACTTGGCATATATAGTACCTTGACGTGCACGTGATTGAGGAGACTTGACATCTACATTACATAGACATACACGTGATTGACGAGACTTGACATCTACATTACATAGACATGCACGTGATTGAGGAGACTTGCCATCTACATTACATAGACATGCACGTGATTGAGGAGACTTGACATCTACATTACATAGACATGCACGTGATTGATGAGACTTGACATCTACATTACATAGACATGCACGTGATTGACGAGACTTGACATCTACATTACATAGACATGCACGTGATTGATGAGACTTGACATCTACATTTCATAGACATGCACGTGATTGAGGAGGCTTGACATCTACATTACATAGACATGCACGTGATTGATGAGACTTGACATCCACATTACATAGACATGCACGTGATTGAGGAGACTTGACATCTACATTACATAGACATGCACGTGATTGAGGAGACTTGACATCTACATTACATAGACATGCACGTGATTGACGAGACTTGACATCTACATTACATAGACATGCACGTGATTGACGAGACTTGACATCTACATTACATAGACATGCACGTGATTGACGAGACTTGACATCTACATAACATAGACATGCACGTGATTGATGAGACTTGACATCCACATTACATAGACATGCACGTGATTGAGGAGACTTGACATCTACATTACATAGACATGCACGTGATTGAGGAGACTTGACATCTATAGTACATCGGCGTGCACGTGATTGAGGAGACTTGACATCTACATTACATAGACATGCACGTGATTGACGAGACTTGACATCTATAGTACATCGGCGTGCACGTGATTGACGAGACTTGACATCTACATTACATAGACATGCACGTGATTGACGAGACTTGACATCTATAGTACATCAGCGTGCACGTGATTGACGAGACTTGACATCTATAATACGTCCACGTGCACATGATTGACGAGACTTGATATCTACATTACATAGACATGCACATGATTGACGAGACTTGACATCTATAGTACATAGACGTGCACGTGATTGATGAGACTTGACATCTACAGAACATCCACATGTACGTGATTGAAGCGATGGTCACGACTTTTCGAGGACCATTTTAAAAAGAACTATTTATTTTTGTAAAACGACCACGAAGGTCGGGTATGTTCTTATATACTGGGGGTAATCATTGACCGCTGGATTGAGATTCAGTGGGACCCCGTTAATCCGGGCGGTAACGTCGCCCGTCAGATCGTGAGGATTAAAGGACGTTCGGATAAGCGAGTCATGGCTATTGGGTAACGTTTCTTTCAAGAGGTATACCGCCTCTGTGGTGTAGTGGATAGAGCGTCTACCCTGAGAGCAGCAGGTCGATGCTTCGAAACCGAGTCGCGCTCTACCAAAAGATGTTTAAAGATGGTATTTGTTGTTACCCTGCCTGAAAAACAAGGACTTTTGAATGAAGTATCTGCGTTAAACTGTAACTATGGTAACTACGAACGAGGTTTCACTGTAGATGATAAAGGAAGCACGGGAATCCGTCTTGCTATGCCAATTTAATGAATTGTCAAACACTGTTCTGTGAAGAAAAGCTAATCATTACATTTGCTTATTTTTTAAATGAAGCTTCGGCTTTCTGCGATAAACGTTTCGCCTCCCCCCTTAACGTCTTGTGCCCCAGTTTACCTTGAAACGGCTGAAGTCTGAAGTACCGGCCTTTTGACTTGGATCCTGTTGACAGGGGTAGTGTGTACATCTCCAGGAGGTATAAAAGATCTGATCCACCATCTATTCCCAGGATCTTCTTTTTGAACTTAAGCTGAATTTTAAAAATTGTGTAAAATACATTATGCTGAGATATAACTCCATAGAACTCAGTCCTTACTTCCACTTCATTACGGGGCGGTCGGGTAGCTTAGTGGTTAAAGCGTTCGCTCGTCATGCCAAAGACCCGGGTTCGATTCCCGACATGGGTACAATGTGTAAAGCCCATTTCTGGTGTCCCCCGCCGTGATATTGCTGGAATATTGCTAAAAGCGGCGTAAAACCATACTCACTCACTACACTTCATTACAACACAGCAAAACATGCTTGTCTTCAGAGGCTGACTTGTTTGATGCATGTCATCTTATCCCAATTGCGTGGATCGATGCTCATGATGTCAATCACCGGATTGTCTCGTCCAGCCTCGATTATTTACAGACCGCCGTCATATTGCTGGAATATTGCAGAGTGCGGCGTTAAACAACAAACAAACAAAAACATTACAACACAGACGGAGAAAATACACGTCGTCTCGCTATCCTTGAAGAAAGGAAGTGAAAGTATGCGAGTGCATTACTGAAAACAATAACATGTGATCGTAATGGCAGGGTGTTTTTTGACAATCAGCACGTGTAACAGGGGGAAGTATCTGTTTATTTTTAACCTACACGTGTGACGGGAGGAAGTATGTGTTTCTTGATAACCTGCACGTGTGACGGGAGAAGTATGTGTTTCTTGATAACCTGCACGTGTGACGGGAGGAAGCGTGTGTTTCTTGATAACCTGCACGTGTGACGGGAGAAGTATGTGTTTCTTGATAACCTGCACGTGTGACGGGAGGAAGCGTGTGTTTCTTGATAACCTGCACGTGTGACGGGAGAAGTATGTGTTTCTTGATAACCTGCACGTGTGACGGGAGGAAGCGTGTGTTTCTTGATAACCTGCATGTGTGACGGGAAGAAGTGTGGGTTTATTGATAACCTGCATTTGTGACGGGAGGAAGCGTGTGTTTCTTGATATCCTGCATGTGTGACAGCGAATCGCGGCGCCTTAGACGACTGGGCCACCCGTGCCCGCGGAAGCGAATGGGACAACCCAGACTATGACAACAGATCCCATATACACGTCTGTCTTACCTTATGATCACTTGATGTAAAGTTGCTTTGAGAGAAATCGAAAACATAGCAACGGAACACAGAGTTCTCTGGGATTTTGTAAATTTTCACGTAGAATCCTTTAAGGCTGTGAAACCCAGCACCTGCAATAACAGATAGAGAAAGTTCTGAAGCTCACATTTCTAGGTTGATAAAACTACTGTCGGCACGGGAATCTATTCTCCATTTTGGGATACAAGATTCAAAACGGATATATATATTGTACAAATCGTTACGTATTTACCCGTCGGACATATATATCATATTTACATTGTACAATATTGTACAAGTCGTTACGTCGTTACCCGTCGGACATATATATCATATTTACATTGTACAAGCCGTTACCCCTCGGATATATATATATATTGTACAAGTCGTTACGTCGTTACCCATCGGACATATGTATCATATTTACATTGTGCAAGTCGTTACCCGTCGGATATATATATATATATATATATATATATATATATATATATATATATATATATATATATATATATGTATGTATGTATGTATGTATATATATATTGTACAAATCGTTACGTATTTAACCGTCTGACATATATATCATATTTACATTGTGCAAGCCGTTACCCGTCGGATATATACATTGTACAAATCGTTACGTATTTACCCGTCGGACATATATATCATATTTACATTGTGCAAGCCGTTACCCGTCGGATATATACATTGTACAAGTCGTTACGTATTTACCCGTCGGACATATATATCATATTTACATTGTGCAAGCCGTTACCTTGTGCAGGTGGTTCCCATGTAACCACGACTTGGGGGTGGAGATTGCCCGCGTTATCTTTAAATAATTCCCCCTCCACCTCCAGTGACTGTGGAGCACCCATGAAATCCCCCCCAACTTGACGGGGTAGAGTTCCATTTTTACATCCTTGAAAAAATAGAAAAATATAATGAATTATCAACACATAGCGGTGTATAAAATAAACCGTACCCATATGAGGAATCAAACCCGGGTATTTCGCGTGATTAGCGAATGATTTAACTCCTAACTAATATAGAAAAATCCTCGGTTGTTACCTCGTACTGATATCAAATCATTTACAGCTGCCCGGCCTTTACAAACGGCAATTCACTAGAACATGGTAGGCGTAGTCATCAAAGTCGACGCAATTCGCTGTGCAGAGTTGCGTCCCTTACGCGCGCAAGGATCCTTTGATCCGATTCCCAGATTGACTCTGATTGTGATTCTTGGTGTGTCGTCACATATTGCTGACTTGGTTGATGCATGTCATCGTATCCCGATTGCGTGGATCGATACTCAAGATTTCAGTCACAGGATTGTCTGGTCTAGATTCGATTATTTACAGACCGCAGTCATTTAGCTGGAATATTGCTGCGTTCGGCACCAAACGACAAACAAACAAACACAACTATATCTGTGCATGTGGGTTTCGCCAAAGTGGTAAACGTGTGGGATCCGACCTTGATATAACTGAATTACT